CATATCTCCTAAAAAGCCTAAACCCTTAACCAAATGAGCAAATCTTGAAGTGCATGAGTTTTGATTCATGGTTTGTATTAATTGAATGTCAAAAGGTGAGAGTGATATGAATGCATGTGTAGATTGGGTCTAGTGTCATTTTGTTGATTGATGAATGTGGCTAAAGTTTTTGAAGTAAAGCAAACTCACTTGCATCTTATAATTCTCAACTAGGACATTGACCTCATTTCTTCTCATTGCACCTTGGGAATCTGAGTCTTTCTCCTAATCCAATACTCTCAGATTTGTTCTTCTTGCTTGAGGGCAAGCAAGTGATAAGTTTGGGGGTGTTGATGTACTCATATTTTACATCATTTAGACATATAATTTCATACATATTTGCATGTTCTTGACATTCATTTCACTCATTTTAGGTCAATTACCTTCCATTATTCATTCATACCATTTAGAGCATACATTGCATACATTCTGCATTTGGAGTTGCATTTAGGTGCTTTTGAGGAGTTTTGGAGCTAGTTCGGGAGATTGGAGTTAAAGAAACGTTCAGGAGCTCGCAACCAGGATGTCAAACAGGTTCAGAAACCTGTTTCTCGCCTTTCAGCTGAGTTGACCAGAGACGTTGACCCGCGTTGACCACTATCCAGCTGTACCAAATGAAGACCAAAACGCAAAGTTTGGAGCCAAACCATTTGGGAAGGAAGAAGTCAAGCTAAATGAGTTGACCAAGGGTTTCATGTCTCCAAATATAAATAGTTTTCAAGTGCTAAATTTGTAGCCACCTTTTATCATATCTTTCTAAGAACAAGAAAAAGACCTCTTTTAAGGTTCTTAACAGTTTGTGAGATCCCGATTTTTTTATCTTTCTAAGAACAAAAAATCATATATATGAATTGAGCTCAACTCTCTCCATATGATTGACATGTGTACACTCATTGGATTGACACATGGCAAAGCTTTTAAAGAGAATAGTCTCTTCACATTCTTAACCGTTGCAGTCATTATATATATGTTTTCCAAAACCGTCGATTGCTTCACCTTCCACGTTATATTAACTTCCATTAATTGACATATGACATGACTTTTCCTCTTCCTTCCAATTGATAACTCTAAATCTTATTTATTTGCTAAATATTCAATTTCTAAACGAAGACGGGAAATCAAAGTTCGTTCAATGTGGTAGTAATTAAACAAAGAGAGTTGATGGCAAATAGACGTGTTGTATAATGCAAAATATAGATTTGAAAGTCAGCTGCTAACCAAATAAGTTGAAATTAAAATCCGGGTATTATTTGGATTATAGTTTATACTATTAATAATCGCAAATTTAAAATTATTTAAACATTTTTCTAAAACTATAACGATTGGAAAAACCTGCGCGTATGCGCGGGCATTGGTCTAATGTATCCTTGAATCTTGAAACAATCTAAAAGTATAACACCCGGACAACATGATACCAAATTAATTTCATTGAAACTCTAACAAGAAGCATAAAGGCCAGTTAATACACACCTTCCGTCATAGATTTTAAGGATGGTGTTTTTTTGGTGAGGTAAAATGGCCATCTTTTCAGGTAAGTTGTTTACATCGAGGACTCAGCAAATGCACGAATAGACTGTTCAATAATAAAATAGGACCATCATATCAACTATATACTTTGTTAATGATCCAGGTAACATAGACCCTAAGAAGAGGAGGAAAAAGATAGCAAGTACTCTTTCTATAACATCTACCTCATCGGCATTATACATGGCCATAGCAACACCTCCAGCACGAGTGAAATTGAAGACTTCAAATTCTGTCTTCGGGAAGATCAATTTGGCTATGCAATGTAAAAGTGATTAAAAAGAAAAGGAAACAAAAAGCCTACAAATTTTCACATGAAAATCAATTAGTGGACACTGATCCCACACTATTTCCTTTGATGCACAGTTTGTGTTATCAAAATCATCTCCTTTTCTTCATACTCTTATTCTTCTTAAACCTTTGAGAACCTTATACTAGCCTTTCTCTCTGCGGATAAAAAAATAGGCAGCAATTGATAGTTTTATTGGTAGCCACAAAAACAAATAATATTAACCAACCCAGACAGACATATGTAAGAGGCAAGGGCATTAATCTTAGCCGTTCATTTCTTCACCACACACTTGAGGCCTTGAATAACGATACAAAATAGACGAGATAAATAACTCAAATTTGATTAAAAAGTAAGAGTAGCCATTACAACACAACAGATGCAGAGAAATTCAACCAAGGATCTAAGAAGAAAAGCGAGAGTAGCCATTACAACACAACAGATGCAGAGAAATTCAACCAAGGATCTAAGAAGAAAAGCAAGAGAAGACATTTCAAATGAGAGAAAGAAGCTAACTCAACCAGACTCGACCACGGCTAGGGATGATGTGGACTTTGACGGTTCTGGTTATGCAAAATCTCGCAAATTATTGCATCTCCTTTTTCACTATGTTCCTTCTGAGAATCCTATTCCATCATGTGAAAGCAATCCGACCATAGGATGTTTCGCTCTTATCCCTTTTATGATCCCTTCTTCATCATCTATATACTTAATCCTACTACTAAATAGGAGTTTATGTGGTTTCACCACCTATTTTGGAATAAGCTGCAAACAAACAAAACCTGTTAAAAAATCAATTTACCAGTTGACAAAATCCCTCTTTGATGCTAGTTTTAAAACAAAAATTCCTTCTATTTCTTCTTCTTCTTCTAATTATGACTCAGACTCAAAGTTAACAAGCTCCATGGCATTTCTCATATACTCTAGGTAATATGTATAGCCTTCATCTATAGTTTATTCATTTTCACTCTCCTTGAAACTATCAAGTAAGTCTATCGTCCTTTCCCGCAGAGCGAACATCCTACCACCAACTTTTTCATCTGTGTCTGAGTCAATTTTAATTATTTCATTTTTTGCAGCTGTTTTCGTCATCATGAAACAAGCATTGGTAATAAAACATGAAATGGACCAGACTCATCAAATTCAAAAAATAATTCTAGATCAATTCAAGCATGTATGATGCTTGAAACTGTAGAAATAGAAACTTACCCAATAAAACCCTAGAAGTAAAATCTCATAGAGAAGAAAGAGGTTTAAATGGAGGAAGAGTTCGTAATCTATAAAATTAAACAATGACCCTTATAATAAAAAGCGGCAAGATTTAGCACATACGACGATTGTTCCGTCGCCGTTCACCCACTTCTCGAATTTTCTCAGTCACTGTTGAAGATTCGAGAACGAGAGACGCAATCCACCCAGACACAATCCTCTGCCACACCAATGTGGCTTGGAACACTGGAAAAAAAATGATGCAGGACTTGGCTGGCATATCTCTCATCAGAATAGGAACCATGTCGAATTCAAACTATACTTAAGTTTGGGATTTAGGTTTTCCGTCAACTCGGATTTTATAATATTCAAACTATACTTAAGTTTGGGATTTTATAATTAAAACAAAAAGACACAGCCTCAGAACAATGCAGATTTACTAGCACATAATGATTTGGCATTTCTATTCCTTATTAGTTATTATACTAGTAGAGAACCCGCGCAAACGCGTTGCGATTTTGTGAAGAAAATCTAAATCCTAAACCTGAGCCCGACCCAAAAACCCTAATCAAAATTTTTTAAAATCCAAATGTTTTAATATGTCTAAACCCGAAAATTCGAAATCCAAAAAATCCCGAAAACCCTGAACCGAATAAAAAAAACTCTAATTTTTTGACCCGAAACCCTAATCCGACCTAAAAACCCTAATCAAAATTTTAAAATACCCAAACTTTTTTAATATGTCTAAATCCGAAAACCCAAATCCAAAAAATCCGGAAAACCCTGAACTGAACCCAAAAAAACTCGAACTCAACCGAACATAAATTTTCAAAAAAACCCAAACAATTTCTATATCTCTATATATCTATAAAATTAGGTCTGAGATTTTCACCAAACCCGAACTTGTTTAGAAAAACCCAAACCAAACCCGATTCAGAAATTTAAAAAACTTGAACGACTTTTATATCACTAAACCAAAAACCAAAAAAACTTTAAAAGAAACCTGAATTGAACCCGAATTAAAATTAAAAAAAAACTTTAAATCCAAAATCCAAAATCATATTCTATTGATTTGGTATTATCGTTAGATTATGTTAAGTTTTCTTTTTGCAGATTTTTAAGAGCTGAAAACGAAGTTTTCTAAACCATCGGTTTGTTTTAAGTTATTATTCTTGTATCCAAACAATTTTTTTCATTTATTATTTATCCAAATAGCTTTTTCTCTTATTCTTGTATCCAAACATTACAATGTACTAAATTGACCATCATTAAATCTGTTGCCAAACACTTTCTCTTCATAATTAGATTGGTTTTTTGGTCATAAATTTTTCATGTACTTCTCAATTAATAATATAAAGATTATGTACTCTTAGTCATGAATTTATGATGATACAAATGAATTCGTGTATAATTTGTTATACTCTCTCCGTTTCAAATTAGTTGTCATTCTGGCAAAATGTATCTGTAATTTTCTGGATGTATTAGACTAAAAAATCATCCAGATACATCCAAAAAGTTACATCAGAATGACAACTAATTTAAAATGGAGGGAGTATTTTTTGTGTGCTAAGTGTGTTTGTGATGGTAAAATAAAATAAAAGTAAATGTCATGGGCATCTTCTTATAGCATATTCTAAGGCCTTTTCATTACCGTTTTGATATAATCGGCCCACAACAAAAAAATTAGATAAAAAATTTGGGAGAGAAAATATTGTTTCTCAAGTCACTTGCGGAACACTGTCGCCTCGAGTTTTGTCTCTCTCTTCCTCTCTTTCTCTCTCTCCGCCTCGCTCCGTCGTCTCAATAGCGCATCTATCTCGCCAGTACCTTCCCGGAGCTCTCTTCCACCAAATCTATCATCGGTCTTCTCATGCGGCTTCCTCTGTGATCTTAGTCCCTCGCCGTTCAAGCTCGCCGGGTAGCGTTTTGATCTCTAGGCATGGCTCTTCCGCTCGGAAAGCTCACCATCCTCATCGGCGCAGGTCCGTGCATTAATGGTTTATTCTTATGTTACTGAATAATTGGTTTGGTGCTTGAATTCTTCTCGGGCTCTGATTGGGTTCGTCGATGGGGGCATCGCAATAAGAGAGATGAGGAAAATTTAGGGTTTTTGATAAACCCTCTTGATTCCTGTCGAATGATCACTGTGCTTGGCTGCTTCTCGATCTTCGACTCTTCTTCAGCACCAATTTGAAGGCGTTTGATCTCTTAGTGTGCTCACTGGGTTGTGGCGTAGTTTCTCCGACCTATCTGAAAACATCGGAAGATTAAACAAACCAAAAAAAAAAGATAGATTTTAGTGAATCTTAGGCTCTCTTCGAATTTATAGTTAATTTTATTTGTGAATGCACCCCTGCAATGATGAAATACTTAGTGTACAGATGATTAATGTTCATCTAAATTGCTTTTACTTTAGGTCTTGTTGGGTCTGTGCTTGCTAAAGAAGGGGGCTTACCAGATGTCTCGAACTTTGTCTCGGGTGCTTTTAAGGTAATTCATCTCTCTGTGTACTGCAAAAGCTTTGGCGAGAGACTTTGTTTGGAAAAAATTGGGTAATGGTTTGTGTCTCTGGACAGCTTGTATTTAGGCAACTGAAACAAGATGAACCTAGCAAATCATCCAGCAAGCCTCGCAATGATACACTTGTGGCCCAGGTTAGTCATTAGTGTTGTGTTTTGATAGTTATTAAATGGAGCTGGATAAGTTAGACTTATGGAGGGCTCAGATTTTAACTGTTATGATCTCTAATTTTCTTTGTAGGTTAACAGTCTTAGGCATGAATTGCAGTTGCTGTCTTCAAACAGACCTATTACTATTGTTACCACTGCGGGATCAGGTTCTCTTGAGTTTTTTATGTTGAAGTTTTGTATTGATTTCTGCTCTAATCCTCTGCATTAAAAAATCTATTGCATTGATAAATGAGCGCAATGGTTTGGCTATTATGTTGATATGAAGTAGGATTCTAGAACCTTTTTATCAATCTCAAACATTTGTTTTTATTTTTCTGGCATGGTTTTTAACATCCTCCTTCCTTTGCTACCTTTTTCGCATCAAAGAAGGCAGACTTATGTTCTGAACAATGGCATTTTCTTCCTAGCATTAACAATGGCTTTTTGCCCCATTCATTAATGTGACATCATTCTTTGTTTACTGTATATTGTAGCTTAAAAGCAAATAGTTGACAGTTTCCTTTAATTCCCAGGTGGTAGAAAGTATGGTGTGATCATTATAATTGGGGTGATAAGCTACGGATATGTATGGTGGAAGGTAATAATACTTCACCATACTTGTGCTACTTGCTCGTTCTAAGTGCTGTTCATTTGCTTGTAGTTTCTCTTTTATTTTTTTTCGTAAAAACTGACAGGGCAGTGATTTATTCTGGAACATTCTCAGGGATGGAAACTTCCAGATTTTATGTTTGCGACAAGGCGCAGCTTAGCAGATGCATGTAATAATGTTGGCAGCCAGATTGATGGTTTTTACTCATCTCTCTCGGTAAGTTCTTACTTACCACATTTTTTTTAAAAGACTTGTTGGAGCTAATCTATCTAAGTAATCTTGTATTTAATTTTAATTGTAAAACCATCAAATATTTTGTCTCATGTCGCTTCTGTTAACATTTCATATCAGGGTACAAAACGGGAGTTAAGTTCAGATATTGACAGGTTGGATCGTAATTTGGAAGAAAATACAGAAATTATTCACGAAACAGCACGAGAGGTATGCTAGATTGGATGTACACAGGTGCTTCTGTTTCACTGTGTTCTCACTCAAGGCTTTCGGATGATTCAACCTTTTTTCTTGATAATATGTTTAGTTGACTCAACTACGGGATGGCACAGCAAATATGAAGGATGACGTTAGGTCTGTTTTTGATGCTGTTGAAACTCTGGTGAGAAAACTTTGCAATTGCATATCTATTTTGACCAGTTTGTTCTCCTTGAAGAAAACAAACAAAAGTGATGATCTTGTGTGATCTTCATAATTTTCAGGCAAGCAAAGTCTATCGCATTGAGGGAAATCAGGTATAACATCTGTCACAGTTATAGTTGGAGAATTTTATACGTTCTTCAGGCATTGTGTTGATTGAAATTGAGTCTCTGTCTTTGTCATCCGTAAAGGATATCACGCTTAAAGGAGTTGGAGCTCTGCATGCTCAGTGTCGAGAGAACAGAAGAATCCAAGAGTCCAATCAGGTATGAGCCCTTATCCATTGTGCTCTTCGGTTTTAGGAAAATCACTGCGTAATTTACATCTTCATTATTATTTACTGAGACTTGGTTTGTGTTTAGGCTTTGCCATCACCTTCATCAGTGTCAGCCATTGAGCCTGCTCCTGTGACACCATCATCAAAGGTAATTTACTCAGTCATTTATCTGTGGTCTCACAATGTATATTGGGATTGATTTCCGATCTTGTCCTGTTTCTATTGCTTATTAACTCTCTCTGTTGTTTGGGCGTAAGCAGACTCTGTCTTTGCCTCCTGCTTCTCCCCGCCTGTCAACCCCTAATGGAGCTCAACAGGTTTGTTTTGTTCTATCTCACACCAGAGTCGTTTGATCAGAAACTAAATATCGTTCTACGGAGTACTGAGTTTTTCATTTGGCAGCCGCATGGTCCACTTCAGCACACTCAATCTCTGTCTGGTTTGAAGGAGATGATGAGTGAAGGCACTAGTAGCCGAGAGACATTATCCAATGGAACACATTCGGGAGAAGCCACGGGAAACACAAGTAGCTCAGGGCTGCTTAGTATGTTCTCATTATCAAGAATAGGGAGGACTCGTAGTGCGGTCAACGCAGTGCCTGCTAACTCGGCTGGACCCCAATAGTGGCTTTGGCTTGTCAATACCGAAGAGAGTTTTGATCATTCAAATATTATGATCAGTGAAGCCAAATATGGGTAGAGGATCTGAATACATTTTGCTGTGTCTATTGCTCGCTCCCTTTGCTTAGTGGAGAAACCAACGTCATAAAGTGGTGCATAAATTTTTTGTAGGGATGCAGCTTATATTTAATTGGAATATGTATGTCACAATTAACCAATTCGTTGCTCTGCCCTTTCGTGATTCATTCAGTTTATATATATATTGTAAGAGGTCGAGGATGGTTTTGTCTGGCCTGTCTCTTCATTTGATCTCTTCCTTTTTTTTGTATTGAATAAAAGGCTTTGTCCAGTTGTCACAAATTATACGTTTATACCAAATTAATAGTCGTTCATCTGTATAGTAAGTTCAAATTGTTAACCAAAACGTTACTGATCATTAAATATCATTTGTAAACTTATGATTACTTGACAATTAACGAACGTAGGCTCAAATATCTCAAGACAGCATTCGTAGCATTTGCACATGCAAAAAACTATTCAACTTCTACTACACACACAAGCCCACCTTTCTCTGTTAATCCTAATATTTGAAAGAACAAACTCTTCTCTTCAGTTAGTAGGTACTTTGTTGACCGCACTAAGAGTCCTCACTATCTTTGGCATTGAAAACCTACTAAGGAGGCCTGAACTCGAGCCTGATGCACCATTAGCCGTTGCTTTCCCTGAAAAAGTCTCCTGGCTGCTAGAGCTTTCACTTATGTCCTAAGACCCAAGTTCAGACAAGATTGTTTCAGGCTAAGTTTGACGCATATTGATGCTGAGAACGTGAGGGATAGGGAAGAGGTAAATAATATATACCTTCAAACCAGACATAGATTGGGTGTGCAAAAGTGGACCATGTGACTGTCCAAATGAAATGTCAGCAACTCACTACAACGATATTTGGTTTTCTAATCGACCGACTATTCTGGTTAGAGATTGAACAAACCTGTTCATCAGGGGTTGACGGCGACTGTGATTCACAGGGAGAAATAGGAGGCAAACTCAGAGTCTGCTAACACCAACACACCAGAGATAAATAAGCAATAGAAAGAACAATGTCTCAAAATTCATTGTGAGACCAGAGAAAGATTTAGTCATTTACCCTGGAAGATGGTGTCATAGGAGCTGCCTCAATGGCTGGCATTGATGAAGTTGATGGCAAAGCCTAAACACAAAACCAATTCTCAGTAAATAATAATGAAAATGTAGATTACGCAGTCATTTCCCTAAAACGAAGTGCACAATGGAGAAGGCTCATGCCTGATTGGACTCTTGAATTCTTCTGTTCTCTCGACACTGAGCATGCAGAGCTCCAACTCCTTTAAGCGTGATATCCTTTATGGATGGCAAAGACAGAGATTCAAATTCAATAAACACAATGCCTGAAGAATGTATAAAATTCTCCAATTACAACTGTGACAGATGTTATACCTGATTTCCCTCAATGCGATAGACTTTGCTTGCCTGAAAATTATGAAGATCACACAAGATCATCACTTTTGTTTGTTTATTCAGGAAGAACAAACTGGTGAACATATATGCAATTACTAAGTTTTCTCACCAGAGTTTCAACAGCATCAAAAACAGACCTAACGTCATCCTTCATATTTGCTGTTCCATCCCGTAGTTGAGTCAACTAAACAGTTTATCAAGAAAACAGGTAGAATGATCAGAAAGCCTTGACAACGCAGTGCAACAGAACCATTTGTGTACATACAATGTAGCATACCTCTCGTGCTGTATCGTGAATAATTTCTGTATTTGCATCCACATCATGACATATCCTGTCAATTTCTGAACTTAACTCCCGTTTTGTACCCTGCCAGAAACAAAATGAGATATATATCGATGTTCTGCAAGAGTTGAAAAATGTAGTAGATCATTGGCATGGATTATCTCACGATAGAAACCACAATGACTGATACAGATAGAGTTCAGTAATCAAATCAAACAAGCGAACAGTCTGTAGGAGCGGTATAGAAACTATGGGAAGTAGAACTTGCCGAGAGAGATGAGTAAAAACCATCGATCTTGTTGCCAACATTATCACATGCATCTGATAAGCTGCGCCTTGTCGCAAACATAAAATCTGGAAGTTTCCAGCCCTGAGAAGAAATCAGAGCCCATCAAGTTGTAAGAAAACAAAACAAAACAAAATCTTGACTAGCTCAAGTATGCTGAAGCATTATTACCTTCCACCATACATATCCGTAGCCTATCACCCCAATAATAATGATGAAACCATACTTTCTACCACCTGTGAATCGAAAGAAATTGTTCAATTATCAGTAAACACAGAATCAGTGAACCTGTAATGAATAATGCTAGGAAAAAAAACCAACGATCAGAACATAAGTCTGTCTTATTTGATGCAAGAAAGTAGCAAACTGGAAAGAACAAGAAACAATGGCCAGAAGAAAAATAAATGTTCAAATTTATAATGCAATTAAAAAAAAAAAAAGCTCAAGAGGACCTGATCCCGCTGTGGTAACAATAGTGATAGGTCTGTTTGAAGACAGCAACTGCAATTCATGCCTAAGACTATTAACCTATAAAGAAAAAGAAAAAAAGATCTCAAACAAGAAACTTTTGAAATCCAAGTCTCTATATTACCGAGCTCCTCGATCCTCGGCAAAGAAAAGAAACTAACCTGAGCAAGAAGTGTATCATTGTGGGGCTTAGTGGCTGATTTGGCAGGTTCTTCTTGTTTCAGTTGCCTAAATGCAAGCTGTAGAGAGAAACATAACCGTTGCCCCCAATTTTAAAAACACACATGGACTCGCCAAAGCTTTTGAACAAGATAGAAATCTGAATAACCTTATAAGCACCGGAGACCAAGTTCGAGACATCTGGTAAGCTCCCTTCTTTAGCAAGCACAGACCCAACAAGTCCTAAAGTAACATTCGGAGAAGAAAAAAACTCAATTCAGTGAAGGCACCAAGTGAGCCACAAACATATCCTTTCTAATCAATCCATACAGCAAGCATTCACAGTGAAACTAAAACACAAACTTGTCAGAGAGCCCCAAATTCCGATATGTTCATGTTAAGCTGTAATCCAAACCCAATACGCCACAGGTGAAAACTACACTAGCACACTGAAAGACCAAAAAGTTTTAAAATTCGAGACCAAAAGGGTTTATCAAAAACCCCAAATTTCTATTCAATTGCGATTACGCATCTACGGAATTCGAGCATCGACCACTATCAGTCATTTATACAATAAACATCCAATAAATGCACTGACGGACCTGCACCGATGAGAACGGTCAGCTTCCCGAGCGGAAGAGCAAGAGCCATGACTAAGAGTTTAAAACAATATCCTGCGAGCGATGGACTGAGATGGCAACAAAGTATGTGGCATGAGAAAAGTCGAAGAGAGAATTGGTTAGAAGAGAGCTGCGGGAAGTTACCGGCGGCGAGACAGAGGCGACGACGAAGTGAGGCCGTGAGAGAAAGAGGACGTGCGACTATATTTGTTCCCTTGTTGTTTGAGGCATACAAAAACCGAACCAAAATATTTCGGTTCGATTCGGTCTAACTTAGATTAACGATCTCCGATGATTTCATTTTATTAGACTTTAATTAACACTTAAAAATTAGCGGCTATTTTGTTAAAAATGACAAGTTTTATATCATTGTGATAGAAGTTACAAAGAGAACTTAGACATCAGAACAAAAACTAAGAGTAACAATACTTAAATCTCTCTATATACAATTTACATCAGCTCTCCATCTCAGCAAAAAAATACTCTAAAAATTTAACATGTAAACACCAAAAATTATCATTTTTATAACTAGGGACTGAAGCCCGCGCACGCGCGGGGTTGTTTGTGATAATTTATTTGTATGGTTTTATTTATCTTTGTTGATTTGAATAATAATAATTTTGTGTTAATCTCTAATTATATGTTGAGCTAACTCAATCACTCATACTAAGCATATGATCAATTTGTTTTATTTTTATTTTTATATAAGAATGTTAACTCTACACTTCATCTCGAGCTTTTCGTAGAATCTCGTTTACATTCGATGTATTACTGTTTACATATATTTTGTTGTGGTAGCATCTGAGCATAATGATCCATTGATTATTTCTATAATGTTAGTTTTGTAAATATAGATTGTATTTTTGAAACAAACATGTCACAATCCTTAAAATTTTCATGTTTTATTTGGGTTTTTAAAAATAACTCTAAATATAATTTCTCATTAACTTCCTACTATATAAACTAAATTATATTCTAATTTTTTTAACTTGTAAACACATTATAACATTTAAAAAATAGGAGAAATCATCTATAAAAATTTCTAACTCTAATTTTTTCATGAGCTTTCTACTATATATTAATCAAAAAATTATATTCAATATTTTTGAACTTGTAAAGACATTATAAACTTTTTAAATAGGAAAAATACTATTTTATGTTGCATATTTTTTTTTTCATCTCCATTTTATATTACAAATGTTTTTTAAATTTTAACATCAAATTATCACATACTTTATTTTAATTAATTAATGTATTTGCGTATAGTTTATATTTATAAAATAGGAATATATGTAAAGAAATATGAAAAGACAAGTATTTAATAAATATTGTAAATATAATTTATTGTTTTTGTGCTGATGTGGACACTCTATATGGAGAGAGGAACTCCCTAATTATATATAAGATGGCCATGAAATTGAACAATTTAATCACATTCTCTAAGCAACAAAATCTCATAATTGGCCGTCTGAAACGTCTCTCGAGACTGCAACTCTCGCCAATTCACTTCATAGAACTTCATTCTAAAAACTCATAACGTCCTCTTAAATTCTCACAAACGTAACCACTACACTCACCCTATAAATAGGTCCCTCCTCTAATCATTCTTCTCCACTTCCAAAGTCTGGACATCATCACTCTCCTTCTCGCCTCTATAATTTGCGTTCCAAATGGCTTTTACTCAGTTTCGTTCTCTGAATTGAAAGCCGGCCGCAACGCTCAACCCATCGTTGCTAGGCTTCCTTTGTTTCTAGGAGACCCGTAACATCAAAAAAGGTAGGGAGCTCATGGGCGTTCATATGCTACTCATCGATGAAAAGGAAAATTCCCATCGACATACCATCCACCACAATCTTCCTAATCATAGACTATGCCTTACAATTGGCCGTTCTGTGCTTAATTCCCACCTACAGTCTCCCTGTAACTAAATCTGTCAATATGGTCGCCTAACAAATTCTAGCCTACATTGCAGGCATCATATGTGAAGTTAGCTCCATCAAAACCATCCTCAGTGAGGAGACACATACCTTACAACGTACGCCTATCTAAGTAACATATATTTCCTACCGTCAAGTTTCAAAAATACTGTATTACTCCTCCCCGTCTAAAATTACCACTCCTAAACTACACAGAGGCCGAACAGTTTGTCTAGATGCTTTTGATGGTCTGGCAGTCCAGTTGGATCTGAAACTGCAAGCCACTGGAGTAGAACCACAAGTCATCCTAGCGACTAATATCAACCTCAAGTCTATCGAGTTAATCTACCCTCATTCGCAATCTGATTCCTCTCAAAAACATCATTCGGTTATATTTACGATCTAACAAACTTGTTCGAGATGTTTGTAGGGCGGCTCTTCCTCAACGCCACCTCAGGGACACATTTCTATTTTCATCTAGAGGTGGAGGCCACTAAACATTCACAGCAAAGTAAGATACACATTCTACTAGTCGGAGACAACAATTACCATGTACAGTAATTGTCATACATCAAACACTCACTAACCTTTTACTAAATATTATATACAGTAAGTCAACTCTTACACATCCTAGAATGAAGCAGAAGACCATATCCCTCTCCAACATAGTGGCCAAATACCGCCGAGTGCAGAAGCTGGAGTAGCTGAATGATTACATACTCAAATCTATTTCCCAGGTACAACCGACAACACCCTATTTGTTTACCTGATTCCGAAACACATTACTACTCAATATAGTGATTGCTTTCGTACCCGGATCATAACTCAGATTGTAGAGTTCCTCTGCACTGCCAAAGTCATAGACATCCAAAAAAAAAAAAATGGATTATCTTACATGGTATGTTCCAAGTGTTTAAGGAAGCTCCTCAGAGGTATTTCAACGTTCACCTGCACTGTCTGCCACGATCTCGATGCTGTTGCGCTCAATAGGTACTTAACGGCAACATATTTCATGGGGTGTACGAGTTGAACCACTAACGAGTATGGCTATTTTTGTATTTTGCAGATACCGAGTAGCAATGGTGTTCTCAGACGGAAACAACACTGCTGTCTTTGTTGGTTTTGATACCGACATGACGAAACTCACAAATATGACCGCCTCAGCTGCCATTACGACCGTAAGTTACGTCATACTATAAACTCATCCTTTGCAAGTTCACACAGATCCCCAAAGCGACTAACCCGAGATCACCACTATATTTCAGGAAGAAGAAACACCAAAGGTCATTTCGGATATAGTAAGGAAGACATATAGTTCAATACTTTAACAAGATTTAATTAGTACTTTTCATAGGGTTCAGGGTAAATTGCCTCTAAAACATAAATGCTATCCACGAAAGTGAAGAAGGAATGGAGGTTACGACAAACCAAATATAAATACAGCCCCACAAACAAAGTAAATATAGTGTCTAAGAGATTATAAATTGGACAATAAAATTACATTATAACTAATAACAATGACCAAATCATTGCAAACATAACACACAGATTACACTTTTAGGAATTGTGTTGAATAGAAAGACAACAATATCACAATCAGATCCCAGTCAAAGTTCATATACCGTTTTGGTTACCTTCATACACATATAATGAAATACCTATTAAACTTTACCCAAAAATGTAAAACAAAGACACACACAATATAGGAAACCCAACTAAAATATCTATGCCACCACTAACACCATAAAGATACTTAAATGCGATAAATAGAGACAAACCGTTACCAAAAAAATGGGTACTAATACAGCCGCCAAAACAAGCTCTCTTTGACGTATTGCAAACTGTTCTTCTGTAAAAGGGAAAAATAAAGAAGACAACATTAACATAAGGTCATAAAGACGACAACTTAAGTGAAATTAATTGGCTCAACAAAATGTTATACATTAAGGAACTCATATTAGGGCTCTAGGCTATATATGAAATAAAGACGATGATAAACATACGCTCAACATATGTTCCATTGAAAATAAACAATACGTCTTCAGCTTACCTCACAACTCCACTATCATAATAATAATTAAAACGCTATTAAATCGTAATCAATAGGTTGTAACAGCAAGCTCTACAAAAACTATATAAAGGCCCCCAACCACATCTACATCAGACATTTGTCAAACCCAATTAGCAAATAAATATGGGAAAGAAAACTATTTCCTCCAGACTTTAAGCACTTCTTGATGACTTCCTTAGAGACATAGTTTCACGTGTAGGCCGTTCAGCCAGGAGTGACCTCCGCAATGTGGTGCTCACATCCATGGAGCTATCAACACATGCGAGATACGACCAAGTCTACAAAAGGCTTAACCTAGCTACATGTTGCAGTTCCCATTGTAGGCAAACAACTTCGAGAAGCTGATGGAAAGATATCTTGCAATTGGCAACGTCAAATCTCACTACGTGAAAAGCATCCAAGAGTACTTCCTTCACAACAACTGATGAAGGGTGAATGCAATGACATTAATTATCTATATGGAATACTCATGTTATGCAGAGGTGAAGCTGATGAAGGAAGAGCTTACATAGACAAGCTACAATGGGCGAAAAACAAGTCCACGGGTGACCGCTGCTGGACAAACTTCAAAAGATCGCTTCAAGCAATACCAGTGTTAAGGAATAACTGATACTTGTCCGACCTACGAAACAGCCGAACACCAAGAGAATGCAAACTTAACGACATAGACACAAGATGCAAGAAGTGCTACTACTATAAGAAAATGAAAAAGTTCGTCAACATTCGGAGTCTCGACATGTAGGGTGGAAACACTCACACCCATTTCTTAGGGGCAAAGTCAATTCCCAGATATCTATGTCTCCAAATTCACCTTATGTCAAATGATTGCATGATATATATTGTAATCTCTGTGATCTTATTGAATACAACATTTTCAGTTCAATATAAAAAGAGGACCAGTTGCACGAATTCCCTTAAAAGTCATTCGATCATAAACACCGAATAAAGAATTAGAACTAGATGCAAATAACACTAAGTGGAACCGGCAGTTGCGAATAGCAAAGAACTATAAATTTACAATCTCCTAATCTCCGAGTGAATCCTACAAAACAAAAATCACCGGAAAATTGACCGCTGAACAATCACCGGTGAACCTCAGGAGTGGTAATCCCAAACCATTCCTCACATTTGCATACTACTAAATTTTTGCGTCCGAAGAAGGAAACAGTAGTTGAAAAAATACAAACACTATGAAGCACAAATCTCCGTCCATAGGTGCCCACTCCAAAACAGAACAAAAAAGAAAATATCAGATACCCAAAATAAACAACACAAGCAAACAAGTAACTGCGATTTACTATAACTGTTATCATCATAGTCGTGTTATCTAAGCTATTAATTTTATTAGTTTCAATGTCTTCTTGCATCCAAACAGAGACAAACAATGGAGAACTTAGCATATATGCATACGAATAGCAAATTAACAGCAGACGCAAATCAACATTGTAAAAAAAAAACTCACTTTTGGAAACAAATTGCACGCTGGATAATACGACCAGCATCTCGACCAACCCGAGAACCACTGATGTTTAGACAATACACAAAATCCGAGCACAGCGAATACCATAACTGCCACTGAGATGCGCCATAGTAGTATGGCCTTGCTCATCCTATCAAACCGGACGAAATTGTTAAATTTCACAGAATCGAACACCACCGGATAACGAGAACCCCATCCCAAACATATAAATTAAAGAGGTCAATATTGAATTTGGAGTCACCTACATTCTATACTTCCATCTTGTGCAGAAGATCTAACGGTAATAATCCATTTCCTACAAATGGGCCATATTGGGTCCAACTAAGCTATGCAAATCCAGACCTACGCAAATACAAAATCGTGTCGACCGTCCCACCTTAGTCAATGATCAGCAGCCCACAAACCTAATTACGAATAAGGCTCGCAAGTACAACTAAATTAATCTGGCCCAAATTATAAGCCACTTGGAAACACTTAACATTTCTTCCGAACGGGTAGAGGGACAAGCGTTAGGAGACTATTACACTCAAAAACGAAAACTGTTGGTAATTCAAATATACGTTAATTACAGATATTAATAGAAAAGAATCGTAACACATTTTTAATGTTGTGGCAAAATAATCCCTACCCACACTCCTTCTATAAGTACCTCCTTCCCTCATCACTTTCTCTCAGTAAAAAATTAGCCCCAACAAAATCTTCCCATATCTAATTCCTATTCGGCTTTCCATATGGAAAACTACTAAATTTGTTCCCAACAGCTGAAGGGTTGCCGATCTCCCGACCACACACCCAGAACGGCACGCGTCCTCGGGAGATAAATTCATTTGTGGAAGTATCGTAACGTAAAGACAAAGCTAAGCTTGGTGGTTGGAGTCGTCATGGAGGGAAAGGTGTATTCCCCTTCTTTGACATCGACCACATTATTTGCCAACACATCCTACTCCTTTGAATCGTAACACTTTTGCCACCAACCACCTATGAGGATGGAAACAGGAACCGTTCCACGACTGAACACATACAGACACATATTCAACAACGGAGTTATGTATGTGATTAGTGGATTTGATGTAAGGATGACGAATCACACCTTCCCGGTATGTAATAACGGGGTCTCTATCCTTTTCTTTGAGGAAACCTCCTCCCGTCAGGTTCTTCACCCTAATACAACAATACCCAAGGATCTTTGTATGTCATGGGACCCCAATACTTGGTGTGCTTTGCAAGATGCAAGACGAAGATCAGAGGCCAGTCCTTGCACACCGTTATGTTTTTAGATTATAACGAACTGCTAATTTTGATAATCTAAAATAATTATTTTACACCAGTGTTGAAGTTATTAAAAATTAAAAACAAAAGTTTATTATTATATATACATGGAACAAAACCAAACCAAAAGTGAAGTAATTTTGATAATATGAATGTCTCACTGCGAACATTATAGTAATGTTTTTACGTGATGCCCTTTTAGATGTGTCCAACGCAAGTATACCAAAAAACAGAATCAACATCACCACATGGCTCTCCAATCGGACATATAGCTCAAACGAACTAATGCCAAAAAGTGTCTTTGTAAGATGACCTCCCACAAATTAATACACTCCAAATATACTTCTTACTACTCCTACCAAATTCAAAAATCCTCGCACTCCAGCTTTCCAGATCGGTGAGTCTAACCTTGGGTGTAATTGAATTAAATATCAAAACAATCACATATGGTTTGAAGAGGCCAACAAGTGCCGGAGGATAGAATATAACAGAATACAGAGTGCTCCACAGTCAAACGACAACGACATGGATGCTAAGATTGAGGAACGCAACAGTCGTTACATTTATGCCTGTGAGGCGTCATGAAGGCTGATCGATTGCCAGAATCTACACAACTATTGGACCATCACGCGGTTAACACACCATTATCTTTTTAAAGAGTGAATGTACAAATAAGTACATTCACATTTTGGATAACCGTATACATGACCGACGAAGGTCATATGCTTACTAATGCAAACACAAAAAATATTTATTTGTGGGACTGGAGGAGCAATGGACACCCAAGTGGACAGAATACCCACTCCTTAGTTGGTGCCACCCACATTGTCCTTCAGCCACTATTTATTCTACGTCATTAGGCCATCTCTTCTCGGTTTATTTATAATTTTCAAATTTTTCCTTTAAGTACGTTTCTCGAATGCTTTAATATTCCCTACTATTTCTTCAGCGTCGGCTTTATTTGCAGTTATTTAGAAAAATATTGGATTAACGATTGACGGAGATAATTCTCGAAATATGTTGAATGTTCCACTAACTTAGTTTGCAAATTTTAAAATCCCCCATATGGTATGATTTCTTCAATTACAAACATGTTGTTAAATTTAGACCACCAATCATCAATGCCGAATATTAAAGGTTTAATACATAAGACACAAGGGATAAAATAATCACCAGACGTTGTAAAATACCCTGCTATCAAAAAAAAAAAAAATGCACGTATAATAGGCACAATCACCGATTGATCAGTCACAAACGGACACTACACTCGAGCCTAACCAGCAATGCAATACCATATGAATAGTAAGTGCGAAGGGGGAAATCATTTAAAACAAATTAACTTGGGGAAACGCGGAAAGATGGAGAAGCTTAACTCATAAAATGATAAATTTATTCATAAATTGACCTGAGGAAACTTGCATGTTCATTAGTATACTACAACATATATTAGTGAGTGAATATAGACGTAATCTCCTCAATGAATTCAACCATGCACATAATATTTAATAGCCAAAGAAATATTACATAAACGTATAATGTATTTAGCATATGCTTATTATCATTCATTTTTTTCCTGCTCTTTTATAATTTCACATATGTAAAATTTTTTTATATTATGAGATAGATTCATAAACGACGAAGTAATTTTAAAGTGTGGGGGCGTATATGTATATATAAAGTCTATGTGAGTTATTTTCACAGACACTAAAAGTCTACAAGAGTTCTATATACCCTAATTAAGGCATTTTCTCCTATATCGTCCATCATCTCTCTCCTCTCCCGTCAACGCCGTCGTTTACTTCCCTCCGGTAAAATTTAGCTTACTCTTTCACAATTTTTTGCTTTCTCACTTTCAAAATTTAGCAAGTTTTTTACTCAATTCCTAGTAATCAAAGCTATTTTCGCATTCTGTGAAGTAGATTAGTAGAGTAGATTCTTTGAATTTATGGCTTGGCTAAAATTTATCGCTTAAAATGAAATTCCAGGGGCATACATTTTGCAATCTCAAGTTAACTTTTGATGAGCTTTTGCCTTTTCTCTGTAGCTACTAGATTAAAAAAGTTTCGGATGACTATCAGTTTCCCTTTTATTGGAAATTTGATAATGCAGAATGGACGATATCCCTAGGTATTTTAAATTTGTTAAATATCTCAGGGTCAAACGATATCCTTAGGTATATAACCTAGTCACTTGATTGAGCAATAGGCTAGTTACTTACAAGGAAACGAAATCAAAAAGTTGTCAAAACCTCCATTAATTGAAAAGGGTTTACATTGTTACTTGATTGAGCAATAGCCAATAGGCTAATCGATGATGTTGTGTTTCTGCTGGATTAACATGGAAATGATTGGGAGAAAAGTGAAGAAGAGTTTAGGATTCATAGGTGGACAATTGGCGACTTTCTCTCTGTTGAATACTTGAATCATATTTTATAATTTAGTCACACAACTTTCTTGCTTCGTATTCCATTTATCTCATGCGTCATTCTTTGTCTCTTATTTTCTCTGACGATGGAATCTTCACAACCTGCAAATGTGTTGAAGATCCAAAGGAGAAACCTGATGGGGAAGAAATGTAAACATATTGTGGTGGTGAAACAGCTCCAACAATCGACTTTGTTCAATATAAGGTAACTTATAGTCTAAAATACAAGGTTTGGGATAACTTTAAGCAATTAGATAGGATCAAAGTTAAATGTATTCACTGAAATCGGGAAGTTAGCTATTGATCATTGTAACACCCCCGACTCGATCTAAACACATAGACCAAACCGGTGAGCGTCACAATTTGCCGAGGTTTGCTGGATAGGCCGTCCCGGACGAAGAACACATCACAATCCATTATGAGCAGCTGAGTGCTCACACTTGATTGGTCCAACACAATTTCGTCCCATGTAGCTGCTGGTGTCGCCTCCTCACTGGTTGAAACCATTCTTATCATCTCCAAGTAGCTGGTGTCGTCATCCCATTGCTCCATCCGCCTCTTTCCTTTCGAGGAGGGTTTCGTACGTTTCCTCTTCCGAAGGGTTTCGTCCCCGTCGTGCTTGAGAATTAAAATTTCCTATTTTAATCCTTTTGTCAGTTCCATGCTTTTGAGCTTTCACTTAGCTGCTCGGAAATGTCCGGAAATTCCTTATCCCGGCCATACCGTTCTTGAAACAGCTTTATCTTCTCTTTGTCTTCAGAGTTGATCATCCCATCCGGACCATTGGGATTGGGATTGTGCGGCGAAAATTCAGCTCAGATGAGGGATATTACATTCTCCCCCTCTTAAAAGAATTCGTCCCCGAACCATGAAGCAACTCTCTCTTCTCCATACGGGTATCCACTACGGTTTCCTAAACTCTATTGGTTTATGGGAAGGATCCTAGGTTTGTTTCCATGGGTAAGGGTTCTAAGGATTTCCTAACCGAATATATCAATCACTCAAACACACAAACAAGCACTCAATCAATCACCCAATAAGAGAGTTAGAACCCATACTTACCTGACCGGAGCCTTAAACGGGTCTTGAAGGTTTAGCTAAATCTATACCTAAGGAATAACAACGTCCTTGTGTTGGTCGCGGTGGTGCTGGTGCTTCGATCACAGGGTTTGTAACACCCCCGACTCGATCTAAACACATAGACCAAACCGGTGAGCATCACAATTTGCCGAGGTTTGCTGGATAGGCCGTCCCGGACGAAGAACACATCACAGTCCATTATGAGCAGCTGAGTGCTCACACTTGATTGGTCCAGCACAATTTCGTCCCATGTAGCTGCTGGTATCGCCTCCTCACTGGTTGAAACCATTCTTATCATCTCCAAATAGCTGGTGTCGTCATCCCATTGCTCCATTCGCCTCTTTCCTTTTGAGGAGGGTTTCGTACGTTTCCTCTTCCGGAGGGTTTCGTCCCCGTCGTGCTTGAGAATTAAAATTTCCTATTTTAATCTTTTTGTCAGTTCCATGCTTTTGAGTTTTCACTTAGCTGCTCGGAAATGTCCGGAAATTCCTTATCCCGGCCATACCGTTCTTGAAACAGCTTTATCTTCTCTTCGTCTTCAGAGTTGATCATCCCATCCGGACCATTGGGATTGGGATTGTGCGGCGAAAATTCAGCTCAGATGCGGGATATTACAATCATGGTCTGATTCGAACACTAGTACTATGTTGAACCATATGTGTAGGTGGAAGAAGTTGAATCCGGAAGCTGAAGTAGAGGTAGGTCGTAAGAGATTTAAGCAATATACTTAATGCATCATGGAAAAAAGATGAGAATGATGAAGGTATGCAATCATTCTTACCATATAAAAATTGCAATCATGTTCTCCATTCTGATTTATATCTGTTTGACAGCACATTTCGCTGACGAGAATTGAAATATGAAGAAGATAATAAAACTTTGCCAAATTCTCAATCACAAAGGCAAGCTAATTGGGAAAATGGTTCAGAGGAGTTCGGTGTATTGGGTAATCAACAAAGTTTTCACAATCACAATAAACAATGCGAGTGCAAATAATGTTTGAAATAGATTCTTAAAAAGAAGGCTGAAGTCATGGGGTGTTAGTCTACTTGATGGTGAATATCTTCCTATGAGATGTGGTGCACATATCCAAATCTGGTTGTCATAGATGGATTGGAGGGGGAAAATCCACCATTAATCGCATACGTACAGTGCACTGTTCAGTATGTCAAATCTTCTCCAACAAGAAAAAATAAATTTAGAGAGTGTCTTCTTCACTTAAAATTGTCTTTTACTGTTGCTATATGTCTTGATGTTGAGACAATATAGAACTCAACATATTTGATATTGGAGTCAGCTTTAAAACTTAAGAGGGATGTTGATATGTTTGTGTTGGAGAATGACAAGTATGTCTCAGAGCTTGGGAAGTTGGAAGGTGTCCCTACTGAATCATGATTGGGCTATGCAAATGCAAGTATACACTTATTATCAAATTCTTTTATGATATCACGCTGAAAGTTTTTACAACTCGTTTCGTTACTGGAAATGCTTATCTAAAAGAGGTCTTCAGAGTTGGTTAAATGATACGAAAGATGGGGCTCAACAAAATTGATATAAATCAGAAAGCGATGGCTAGTAGAATGAAGGATAAACTTTATTAATATTTGGGAGATATGGAGAACATGAATGTGATGATTTTTGTTGCTTGTGTTATGGATCCAAGTATAATCTAAAGTATATGAGATTTATAATCCAAGAGAACTATGGTGGCGGTGAAAATAGCATTACGAGAACCTTGATTGCAAAAATAAGCTTGGTTTTAGACAAATTTACAAGCATTATGAAACCAAAACTTCCAATTATTATGTGTGTACTAACCAAGCTAAAGGATTGATCGCGGGATCAGGTCTTCCCCTTTCCTATCCCTGATTCTGCAAGTGCACAGGTCAGAAGTAGTAAACGGGTATCGAACACAAGGACCAGATTGCACACTACAAGTTATGAGTTTGAGAACAAGCTAGGGCAAAAGTATAAGTTGGTTGAGTGCAGAGAAAGTAAAGCATGCAAGTAATAAAAGTGAGAATTCAATAGGAGAGAAAGGCTAAGCAATAGGATAGTCTTGAGATAAGCAATTCAAGAAGCATGAAATCAATCAATTAGGGTTACCGCACTTAGGTGCTAATCTAGAACTTGAAACACTATGGTATGATCATTCCACTGTCGAGGCTCCGACCCCTTTGTTAATCTACCTAGTCGCTAAACTTTTGGTATGTCCCTAGGTGATTAAATCAAGCATTAGTTCGATCAAGATCAATTGTTCACAACCTACAAGTAGATCAACTGTCGCAGTCTAAAAGAGATTGCCCACCAAATACTAGTTCAGGCGAATGATACAGCACTGTCGAGGCTCAAATCAACCTAAAGGCATATGCTAATTGGCCAGATTAACAACAAGCATTAAGTATAAGCAAAGATGGAGATTATAAGTAAAACCCTAATTGTGATCAATCATCAAGCATACATGAATGCTATCCTTTGACTTCCTATCACTTAACAAGTAAACTACTCAGACATAGAGAAGGAACACGAATTCATATTCATAAGAACAGAGATTCGAATCCTCTCTAGAAAGAGTAACAAGCAAGAACAAAGTAAAAGCAAGCAAAACTTTATTAAGATGTAAAATAGATTGTGGTCTCTCTCCTTCTTGAGTTACAAGGCTAAAAAGAAGTATTTATAATGCTCTAAGTATGAAAGGCGGCTAAACCTAATCTAGCTAGGTCGGCGCCGGCTTTGGGCTTGAATTGTGCGGATTGGGCTTCAAAAACGGCTTCGGGTCGACCGCGGCGTTCGGACGGTCGGTCGGGACGATCGGCCGGACAGTCGGGTCTTGGGCCGAGTCGGAACGGTCGTGGCCGGATGTTTCATGGTCGGCCGGCTTGGTCGGCGGATGATTTGGCCGATGGTTTCTCGGCCGGACGTGGGACGTTCTTTCCCGGCTCGGACGGATGCATCGGCCGTGGTACGCGGAACGGGTTGCGCGGCCGCGAGGCTTGTTTCCCGGCTCGCGCGCTGGTCGTGCGCGGCGTGGCGTGACGTTGGCTTGGCCGACCGCGGGACAATGTTTCCCGGGTCGTTGCGTGATCGGCCGATGGTTTGGACTTTGGCCGAGACTTCAGTCGGACGGATACGGTTTTGGCCGAGCGCGGAACATTCGTTCCTCGGCCAGCCGGACTGCGCGTTCGGCGCTGATTCTCGATATGGCCGTCTGGAGCAGCCTTCACTCTTTTGGCTATAACTCCTTTTCTACTCATCCAAATGAAGCCATTCCAGTTGCGTTGGAAAGTTAACTCAATCAGAGCACGCAGGGAACTGGTCTTGATGAAATCCATTGAGTAGATCTTTTTCTAGCTCCATCCAAAGTTGATGCAGGGGCATTGAACTGGTTTAGAGTCCAAATCTCCTGTTTTGCTCCATAATGCACCTTTTTACCTAAAATGACTCTTTGCACTATAAATCCATAAAAACTACCTTTTAACACAAGAATCCACTAGAAAACCATTAGAAAACCATAGTAAAATAGCATAAAAAGTAGGTAAAATAGAGGTATATCAAGGACCAAATCAAACTTTAGAAACAATTGAAGAGACTGAGGATACTTAGAGCATCATTATTGGTGTATACCCAAAATGTCTGTTAACATTATTAGAACAATACATTTTAGTTAAGAGACGTTGTTAAGAAACAGTTTGGTAAAGTTTCTTAAGTGTACTTAATTTTTTTTCTTTAATTAAGTTTATTTATATACAAAACATTAAATATTTTATATAGGATGAAAATAAAAGCATAGTTTCACATAAACACAATTTAAATATAACTTTTTAAACCATAAACATAAAGAAAATTTAAATTTCATCTTCATCGTCAACTTCATCCCCACTTTCAGCATTAACTTGACCATTAAGATGTCTCTGCCATATATGCTGAACTAAATCATTTTTCAGTCGTTGGCTTTGTCTAAAAAAAAGCCGGATTTTTAACAATAGCAAATCTGTTCGGACACCTTCTTGATGTTTAGCAAAGCGTTTCGCTTTCGGACCCTTTGGAAATTTAATAGATTGGATAAAAGTTGACCAGTTTAGGTAAATACCATTTGTAAGATAATAAGCCAAACCATACTCGTGTCCGTTGACAAATAAATGCACTTGCGGAGCTATCAAGTTATCATCAAAAACAGGTGACCGAACAAGAACGTTAAGATCGTGTAAACGTACCTGGAGGTCCAAAAATTGAGTGTCATATCCACAGATCATACGAAGCTACCACCTCTAAAATGATTGTCGGTTTTGCTGAAACACGTGAATATTATCCTTTCCCAGCGGTAGGACAATTCTTCCACTCCCAGTGTATACAGTCCCGGGAAGTCCACGTTGTTCTCCCTTATGAAGTAGTCGTTGAAGATCATTTGTGTTGGATTTTCTTAGGTATTGTTCGCCGTAAAGAGTTATTATTCCTTCGACGAACTCCATCAAACATGGCCAAGCAGTAGCTTAAACCATCCTGAGGTATTCGTCAATCGCATCAGCCGCATAACCATATGCCAAAAGACGAACTGATGCGCACACTTTTGTATGCAGAAGAAACTGAGCCAGTATGTTGTATCTTCCGTCTGTTGAAAGAACTCGAATTCAGCAGTGAGTCCAGCAACAATTCTCAAAGAATAACTGCTTGTTCATTCGAAAACGTCGTCGAAGTAAAATAGGAGGTATGTGGGAGTTTCACTAAAGTAATCATTCCATATACGGGTGTGGCTTTCGCCGCGATTTTTTCCGATAAAGATCCGTTTTTTCCTTGACTTCTTTGGCTTTTTCTGCTTACTTCTTACCCACTTAACAAATCCGCATAAGATTGATCGAGATATTGGTCGATCATTTGGTTGAAATTTTGATCAATTCCATCGCCAAAGGATCACATGATGAAGACCCCATTTTGTGTTTAAATTTTTTAAAATTGTGTAAAGTTTGATTGAAAAATAAACTTGATCAAGAAGAGCTTCAATTGACCAAGTATTAAGAAATGATAAAGAAGAATTTTGCTCTTAAAGAATAATTTATAAAAATAGAAGGAAGAAGAAGATAACACATAACAAAGATTGATATTTATAACATTTGAACTTACAACAAAGCGTACATATAGAATTTGAGAAAGAGGAACTTGTGCTGTATAATTGTAATAGGAAAGCAACAACATCTGTGACTTATTTTGGACCATCTCACAAAACATGTAGTCACCAAACATCTGTGACTTCTCTTGTGTCTCTTGTGACTCCTCTTCTGCCTCGCTTAAACATATGTGCCTTCTCTTTGTGGCATCTGGTGACTCCTCTTGTGCCGATATGGGAGACTGTCATCAGCAAAACAAAATCTGCAAAGAGACAAGAATGTTAGCCAAACTTAAAACATGATTGCATCACAAGTATGAAACATGTGTTATTTGCTTAAATGTCTCTATTTTCCTCACTAAATTGAAGTTCCTAAAGAATAAAAACTTGATAAAAAGTCTCATGAATCATAAATTTAACATAAAGACAAAACTCTCATTACATATAACACTTAAATATAACATATATAACAAAGACAAAAGTCTAAGTAAGACTTTTAACAAGTTAAACATGAAACCGAAACTCTCATGTAGCCGCATTAAACATGAAACAAACAAACAAACAAACATGGAAACATAGTTCATCACAAGAAACAGACACACGACCTGAAAGTGAATCACATAAACATTTCTGAAACAAGCTTCTTCTTTATGGTTTCGTCAATCTTAGAATGAAGTTCTTTCTTTTCAAGGATAATCTCTAGCATAGCCAACTTTGACGCTCTCTCTCTCACAACCATCTCTCTCTCTGAAATCCATGCCAGTCTTTTTAATAGTGTAAGCGCTTTCAAGCTTCTCAATGTCCGGCTTGACTCCAGTTGGGCATTATGTGGCTTGTTCATCAACATTGGTGAAGCCGTGAAAAGTTTCTGGTTGGGAACCATCATCAAACTTTCTTCTTTTACTCGGTCCATCAGTTTTTGATGAGGCAAGCGATAACCATTTCTGGTCAAAGCGCAGCTCCCTCCATGCGTGTTCAAGATTGAATTTGTTCTTGTAGTCGTTGAAGAACATATTATATGCCACTTTAAGGACATCATCCTCGTTATGACCACTTGCTTCCCCTCTTGTTGCAGCCTCATATGATCCACATAACTTGTCGACCATCTCATTGATATTATGACAGCGTTGCTTGCAATGACATGGCTCTCTGCAAGCCAAACCAGCAGCCGTACAAGTACGAGCAATGAATTGTCAGAAGGTCCTCAATCTCTGCTCATTCCGGGCGATATGATCTTTGGTCGTATTCAACCATGCGCTTATGAGCATGTTGTCATATTTTGCAGTCACTGACCGATGCATCTTTAGGCGATTAAGAAAAATAGGGGGGGGGATAGTTATCATTACTATAAGGATCAGAAAGGAGAGGATCATGTTGACTATTCGAAAGGCAAAGAAAATTGGAAATTTGACTAGAAGGTTTAGTGTAATTCATATCTTCAATTGACGAATAAGAGAGAAAACAAAAGCAATGAGAAGAGGAATTTGTTTTCAAAAGTTAAGAAAGAGAAGGGGAAATGTGTTTAAAAGTTGAGAACAAAATGAAGAGGAACTTGTGTTTTCATCCACTGTCGTTCTTGGTACACTTGTGTCATAGCTTACTATTGAAGGACTGGGAAGTCCGAGTTGTTCACGTGTATAGGGAAGCTAATTACCTTGCAGATGGATTGGCGAACTATGCATTTTCTTTACCTTTAGGTTTGCATACTTTTGATTCAGTTCCTCCGGACTTATTGCCGGCGTTGTGAGAGGATGAGGGTGGAGTCACACGACCATGATATGTCCATGTGTAATACATTTTTTAGTTAATAAAATTGGGAGCCTTTCACCAAAAAATGATAAGAAGGATTTTGCATCGAAGCTAACACTAACAATAACAAGCATTCATGACAAAGATTTTGAAAATTATCTACCACATCACATTGATAATTATGTACCACATCACACTCATTTATTAACTAAACCATGTCTTAATCTAGCAATCACAATCACAGTAACTCATCAAAACCAAATCTCAACCATAAACCTAGACTAACAATAAAGCCTCAAAACCATAAAGCGGAACATCAAGTAACTCAAACGGATAGATAGAGTATCAAGTATCTTTTATGCGGCTTTGGTTACATTTAATGTAGATCATAGGTTTCAAACATATATATTGAATCAAAACTCTTAAATCACTGAATCGACAAAGGAGAGTAAAACGATTTCCTTTTATTACCGAACTAAGGAGTGATAATTAGGAAAAACCAATGAATCATCTAAGGAACATGCATCGGCAACCATAATATTTGATATTAAAAGACACTAATTTGACTAAGACAAATCTAAAAGACCTACTAATTTGACCAAGACAAATCGAGAACAAAAACAATTGTAAGTTTAAAAACCAACAACATAAACATTTAAGACCCGATTATGCTACAATGACGCTGAGATTTTGCGAAACACAAGACAGGAAACCTAAATTAAACGCCAAATACAACCAGTTATGAAGAAAAATTATTATGCAAAAGTTTTCGCAGAATCGTTGTAGCTAATGTTTGATTTCCTTGCAGTTTCTTCGTCGATTCGTCTAACATCATCTTGTTTTCTGCCAAAGCATGGTTCGATACAAGATTTCGGTTAAATTTCTCAGTGAAAATCGAAGAAGAATCGAAGAGGAATCAAATCGCCTCAGAGCGAGGAAGAAGTAACAAAGAGAGGCGAATTTGCCAAAATGAAGAAAAGGAAAAAAACATGTTGCTTCCTTTATTTTTGTTCCACTTAAATGTGATAAATGAGGAGAGGCTTAAGAGAATTGATTTGTCTACCTATGTTAACAAAGTACACTTATCTTTTTTGGTCAAAGATCAATAAGTAACTCCAGAGTTAAGCGTGCATAGGCTGGAGTAGTGGAATGATGGGGTGGAAGGATGGGTGACCTTCCGGGAAGTGATTTCTGAAACCGTGTGAGTGAAGCCAAAAGAACGGGGAAAGTTCGGGTGTTGATTGCAGGGATAGTAAATAAATCATTAGAAGCTCTAAAAAATAGCGCACCGGCCGTCAGATAGGGGTGAGGCCCACGGGCCGAGAGAGGGCGTGGGTGACTCACCGAGATGGGCGGTTGAGGCGTTATAGGTGGAAAAGGTCAGCATCAAGATAAAAGACCCTTTATCTAATGGTTAGAGATCTAATGGCTATACTAGTCTCAACTGTTCCTTTCGAGTCAACTTTTAACACAAGTGGTCGAGTCATTGCTACTTTTCATAGTTCTCCCATTCCTAGAACGGTTGAAGCCTTGATATGCACACAAGATTAGATTCACAATGATTATGAACAAAGTTCTTTGGTAGAACAATTTCAAAGTCTAGAGGATTGTATACACTTGTCTTTATGTTATTTATGATTATTTAACTTATTTATGAACTTACAGGTTTTATATGTTGTTTACGCATAGATTATCGCTTCAAATGCTTATGGAAATTTGGTCCAAGGAGTTAGTTTAACTTTGGAGGAAGAATAAAAGGTAAAACTTCTGTTTCATGTGTGAACATTTATGATTTATAAGTATGTGAAGGCTGAGATTTTTTGAGTAACTGTTTGTATAAGTAATCAAGTATGTACGTGATTCTCTGTCTCCGACCCTTTGATCATGTGATTTGTGAGTATTCATAGTAATTGACTCATTGTCCTTGATACTAATGGCTGTTTTGGAACTTCTGTTTTACATTTAAGTCTTCTTATCACTTTTTCTTTTACAAGAGCAAAGGAGGCCAAAGGGAACTACTCAACTACGGAACTAGGAGTATAAAACTAAGAAACTCTGTCTTGGAAACTTTGTTATCACTTGGTTGGAAACTTTGTTATCAATTTGTGACTTGTGAGAACTTTGTCGCCTATGTTCTTTTGAATGCTTGGAAACTTGGATAAATTGTATGCTTGGATTTTAATACGCGTCTATGTCAATATGCTTAAATTGGATTTGTTGGCTTGTTGCCTTGTTGGACGGGGCAAGTACTTGTTTAATGAATTAGGAGGTCACAAGGCGAAGCAAATAACTTGTGAGTCGGTGATGATAGGATTTGTGTGTGATGTGATGATATGGTATGAAATGTAAATGAGGTGGAATGCAACAGTGGTATATGAAGATGAGATGGTATGATGCAAAACACAATCACAATCAATCAATTCCCCTTAACCATCATAGTCATTGAAGTATAAGGGTATCAATCCATAAGGGTGAAATTGTTGCTCTATGAGAATATGCAATAACAAGGAAGTCAAGCAGACAGTAAATGAGATGGTAGTAACTCTAACAACCTAATGAAACAGAAATGCAATGCAATAAAGTAAAGAAAGCAGTAAAGCAAGCAGCTCGACCAAGGACTCGAGTCGAGTTAAGTGTAAAAAGCGATAAAGGCAGAACTTTAACAAGCTAATGCGAATATTAGGGTCTAAGACAGGGTCTTACAATCAGGGAAGGCTATACTTAATCAATCTTGCTCTCAAACAACTTGTATCAAGGTATCTCTTGATATTGAGCTTCTCAATGCCTAGCTAACCCTTTCCCAAGGTGAAAGCTATCAACCAAGGCTGATCTCAGAAACAGGGGGTTAGCCAGTGAGAATCAAGCCTTGGAGGCCATAGGATCATTGCTCAAACTAATCCATCCAACCCTATGAACTCCATTTCGAGAGCAAGAGTTATTGGAGCTCTTAGTGGACCTTTTCCAAGCGATTTCCATCACTTCCATGTGGAGAATCGCCTATGACATACAAGCCAGGGGTAGTGGTCATGTAGCCTTAAGGTTTGTCCAAAAGAGAGAGATTTCTAGATTAAGAACATAAGCAAGAAGATTAAGCATAAAGATCCTCTAATCTAGCCCATCTTTGACCCTAAAGGAAACTACTCACTACACATGAATGTAAACACAATCAAATGCAATGAAAGACATAATATGAAAGAGGAGAAAAAATAACTTTTATTGAAATAAGCAAGTGCAAATACAGAAAGATAAGCCAGATCTAAGGTTCAAGAGCAAGAGCTCAAGAACACAAAGAGAGGCTTAGGTTGCAAAAAGTAAAATACAATTAAAAAAAGCTAAAACAAAAATAAGCTAAAGATTGTTGTCTTTTTCGTGGCTTAGAGCCTTTAAATACAAAGGATTAGGTTTAGGGTCAAAGGGAAGTCAAGGGGGAAGCAACATTTTTCGGGTTTGACTGTTGACTTCTCAGCTCGATCGAGTTGAAGCTTGGCCGGTCGAGTTGAGGAACTCGACCGGTTGGTCGAGTAGATGGTCGAGCTGGTCTTCAAGATGGCTTCCTCCTTCTTCCTTTGCGTATCCAGTTGAGCTGCGTCCATGCACCAAGTCCTTCCTTGCTCCTCACGTCCCATATGCTCCAAAATGCTCCAAAAGACCTATTTCAAAGGACCAAACATGCATATGTATGCAAATGCAACCTAAAACTACTATGAATGCATAAGAAGGAAAAGGAACAAGATATGATGCTAATGGATGCTAAAACTATGCAAAAGATGCATAAAAGATGTACTAAAACTATGTAAAATGCAAGTACATCAGTCGGCCAAATTCTGGCAAGTACTTGTAACGGCAAGTACTAGTCAAGTACAAGGTAAGTCGGGTCAACATTTATGGATTTTGAATGAGGCAAGACCTATGTTCAAATAAAGTGGGGCTGTTGAGCCGGAATTAACGATTTTTTGAAAAATCATAATTAAATCAGAAATTACTCGGGGCGGAAATTTTACCACATTTTTTATATTTTTATTGCTATATGAGTAACACATCAGTATGATATTCAAATTTTTAAAGAGTATATTATTTTTTTTTCCCAATTCATATCGATTATAAAAAAATTAAAAAATAGTTCCAATCACAAGACATAAAAATATAGTATTTAGATCATGTATTTATTTATTATTTTTATAAATATATTTCTAATTTTATTTTTATTTTTTTTCGTGTGAGAGTGAAAATATGTCCCTTAAACTAATTATTTATTATATTTTATTTTCTCTCTCAAATGTACACTTGATTAGCCCTAGCCTTCATCGTATACGAGAAGAAGACCCCACCATTAATTTTTTGTTTCATGTGTGGTTTTGATGGTCTTCTGGGTCGGAAGTAAGCTATAGTCAGCTATCTTCGATTTATCAGATTACAGTGTTTTTTTGTCTGAAATCGGTCAAAACTTGTTTGACCAAAAAGTACATCTGATAATCTCCTCGGTGGCTGTCAACTTTACAGATTACAGTGTTTTTTTGTCTCCTTCATCATATGCGCCAACTTTGTTATGTGGTTCAGTTTAGCTAATGGTAACATTTGGCATCAACGTCTTGGTAACCTATCCATTCCAACTTTACAAAAGCTTAAAGATATTTTAATTTAATTTAGGTCTTCTTCTGATTTGTTTCATTGTTTAAATTTTCCTTTAGCAAGCAAAAGCTTTTAACTTATGTGTCTCATAATAATTAGTTTTGAAGCCATTTGATTTAGTTCATTTGGATATATGGGATCTTTTTAGTGTTGAAGGTGTTGAAGGTTATAGATATTTTTTTACCAGAGTTGATGATTGTACTCGAATAACTTGGTTGTACATGTTAAGAAATAAAGGAAATATTATCACAATTTTTCCATCTTTTCTCACTCTTGTTTCTACTCAGTACAATTTGCAGAGAAAAGCTATTAGAACTGATAATGCTCTTGAACTATCTTTTACATCTTTACTTAGGGAAAAAGGTAATTTTCACTACTTTTCTTGTGCTTATATATACTCAGTGTAAACATCAGCATCTATTAAATGTGGCTAGATCCTTACTCTTTCAATATAATCTGCCATTGAAATACTAGAGTAATTGTGTTTATACTGCTGTTTTTCTTATTAATCGCTTTGCTTGCTTATAAGTTACCATTTGACTGACTACAACTTATTGAAAAATATAGGTTCATTGTGCTATACATTTACTTTACAGAAAGATAGAAATAAGTTTTTTTGCGTGCTAAACCTTGTGTTTTCTTAGGCTATCCAACTAGATATAAAAGTTACAAGGTTTTAGATTTGGAACTTCATTATGTTTCTATTTTCCGTAGTGTGGTTTTTCATGAGATAGTTTTTCCTTTTAAAACTAGTGAATTTGTTTATGAGGCTGTTGATATGTTTCCTAATACAAATTTACTACTTAATGATCTTTTACATTTTGTTGAAACAATGCCCTTTTAGTCATCATATTCATCTTCACATATTTATATCTCATCTGAAAATATTTATGTTGATTGTTCTGCATCTTCGTCTTTCTTGATGTTTCATCATGTGAGACTCATGCATCATATGCATATGCACATACACGACTTATTATCACACATATATATATATATATATATATATATATATATATTACTCCATCCGTTTTATATTAGTTGTCATTCTAGAGATAATTTTTTGTTTCATAGTACTTGTCGTTTTGTATTTCCAATGTAAACTATTGATATATTTTTCAGTTTTATCCTTGTTCCTTTAGCTTATTGATTATTCTTATCAAAGAAAACTAAGTATTAACTGGGAATAAAATAGCAAATTTAATATGTATCTTAATATGCGTGAAAAGCTCCAGAATGACAAGTAAAAAGAAACAGAGGGAGTATTTCAGTGGTACATGATATAAGTGTAGGTTCAGTAAAAGCACTTCTAAGGTTTCTATTTTTCTTTCTGAGCATCACTGTAATAGCCTCTTATCCTTTTCTGCTTAAGTATACTACTTCACCTCACCATACAATTCCTTATCCCAATTCTGATTTTCTTTTCTATGACAAACTTACCCATGTTTTTCAGTCATGTATTTTTGCCTATAAACTTGAGTGAGAAACAAAGATATTTCAACAGGTCATGGCTTCTGAGAAATGGACTGAAGGTGTGAATGGGGAACTACATTCTTTGGAATCCCAACACACTTAGGAGTTGGGATATTGAATCGTTACTACGAGATAAGAATATTGTTGGAAATAAGTGGGTATTACAATCAAATACTTGGTGGATGGTATAATGTGAAACGTTATAAAGCTCAGTTAGTTGCTCAGGGTTTCACTCAAGAATAAGTCGTGGATTACTTTGATATATTCTCTCATGTTGCAAAGCTCACATGTGTAAAGTTTCTTCTGACTGTTTCCTCGGCTAAAGATTGGAGTTTAACCCAATGGATGTGTCAAATGCCTTTCTTCATAGAGAGCTTGGCGAGGAAATTTATATGAGCTTGCCACAGGGATACACTCCCCATGAATGTGTTATCTTGCCTCCTAATTATGTATGCAGACTTTGTAAGTCTCTCTATGGACTTGAACAAGCGTCTAGGCAATGGTATAACCACATATTATCAATGTTACTGGGAGCTAACTATGTTGAATCTTCTGCTGATACCACTCTCTTTGTCCGTGTTATTGTGGTCTCTTTTGTTGTTGTGCTGGTAAATGTGGATGACATTATGATAGCCAGCAATATTGATGAGGCTGTTGAGAGCTTGAAAAGACTTTTACGGTTAAAATTTCAGATCAAAGACCTTGTTCCAACTCCTTTTGTCCTTGGCTTGGAGATTGCTCTCGTTCATCCACTGGAGTGTATGTGTGTCAGAGGAAGTACGCACTAAACCTATTGGGGGATGCTGGTTTATTAGGCTGCTAACCAAGTTTTGTTCCTATGGATCCTACTTTACATCTTCATAAAGATAGTGGAACACTTCTGCCTATTGCCACGAGCTTTAGGGAATTGGTTGGACACCTTTTTACCTTACCACATAACAAGGTTGGATATAACTTTTGCAGTTCATCAACTAAGCCAATTATTCTATGCTTCAACTGATGTTCATGTTCAAGCTACACATAAGGTCTTTCGCTACATCAAAGTAGTCCAGGTCAAGGATTGATGTATGTTGCAGATAATGAACTTTGCTTGGGGTTTGCGGATGTTGATTGGGGTACATGTGAAGATACAAGACTTTATGTTACAAGTTTTTGTGTCTATCTTGGTACGTCTTTGATCTCTTGGAAGTCTAAAAAGCAATCAGTGGTAAGATGAAGCAATACTGAAGCAAAGTATCAAAGTCTAGCTCAAGTAACTTGGAAATGATACGGATGCAACAATTGCTCAGAGATCTTCATATCACATTTACTCCAACGAAGTTATTCCGCGATAACAAATCGGCCATTCACATTGCTTATAGTCCAATCTTCCACGAACGCACAAAATATATTGAGATTGATTGCAATACATTATGCGATCAAATCAAAGCTGGCAAACTCAAGGTGTTTCATGTCTCTACTGAAAATCAGCTCACTGATATCTTGACAAAACCTCTTCATCCAGATCCTGTCTATGCGTTAGTGAAACTAATGTCATTATCAAGTCTTTATCTTCAAAATGTCATTATCAAATTTTTATCAAGTCTAGACGGGGTGTATTAGATATTTGGATTGAACCGGTTAACATTGGTTATTGAGATTGGTTCATTATGTAGTTTATTACTTGTGTATACAAGTTTATCGGACATTAATTATAGAGTTTAACAAAGCTAATAACAAACTTTTCTTTATTGATATTTTCCTGAGCTCTCCCTTTAATCATTTTTTTGCTTTGTTTATCTGGATTTAGTAGTATCATACTATTATTTGCAAAGTCAGAATTTCGAATGGAGGCACCACGTTAACTCTCAACCTCGGAATTACATAACTACCCTTAATGAAAATCTTAGCAATATCTTTTAAATTTCCTTTTTATTAATCAATAAAATTTTCCTTTTAATTAAAATCTCCTTTTAAAAATCAATACTTTAAAATATAAAAAAAAAAACTGAAACACTAAAAAATTAATAAATAAATAAAATTGTATTTTTCCTTCTTGCTAATCAATCGATTTGAAATTAATATTGGTATTACATCATAACTGATTAAACCCAAATCTATTTGTCCTTTTTTGTTGCTGCAGAATTTCACAAAGACCCGGTGTTCCTCACATAGAAAACGAGATAGAAAGTGTTTGCATCTTTGTTAAACAAAGTGGATCGCACAAATAATGGTAAATTTTAATCACGTTGTTGATCTCATTCAAACGAAACTCTCTCTCTTTTTCTTATTTATATATATACATTATCGTCCAGATTGTATAAACACAAGAAAAATATATGGTCATTGAGATAATTTCTATTCAAATAGGCTAAGAAGGATGTAAGAAGTTCATCGAGTTGCTCCGATATATTTCTTTTAAAATTTTTTTTTGTTTCTTTTCTTCAAAAATATATGTTATGTGTCCACGTTAACATGCTTTGTTTTGTTACTCTAACTTATCGTTTTTTTTTTCAAATTAACGTATTTTGTTTCATACCATGTACAAGGAAAAAGCTGTCAAGCTGTTCAGAGACCTCATTGAAGAGCTCTTTATTTTTGTGGTACTCTCTTACTCAGCATTATTAAATGTGGATAACCCGACCATGTTATAACTTTGTTTGGAATTGAATTTAGAATTACTTTCATTGACATGTTCTAGCTCATGACTGGTAAGTTTCAATTTTTTTTACATCTTCGTCTCTATAGATTTTTTTATCATAAAGAGTTTACTAAAACAAACTCGATTCGCTGATTCGCATTTCCTAATACTTTTGTTCATTGGCTTGCCTCTGTATAAAGTTCGGTGTCCTACTGTCCTGTCTGTGAAGGCTTGGTAGCATGGAGGGAAGTGCTAAAAAGAAAAGGGTTTCTCCTCTGGACTCTGATTAACTTATTTTAAATTCTGATAAGTTAATTAAGACAAAGAGACAAGCTTGGTTGTGATTAAGAAACACAACCCAAACGATCCTCTATCCGAAATCAGATGCAAATTGATTTCCACAAGAAACACCACCATCTTGAGAAACAATGAAGTTAAGAGTTATAGTTCCAGTGAAACTGGTGTTGGAGATACCAAGGTTTTGAAGTGAGGTAAACGAAGAGATCTTAGGGAGGGAAAGGTAAAACCAACTGAATAGAAACGACAATGTGTTTGTCGGAGGTAAACAACTGATGTAAGGCCATTGATATGGATTGGAATGAGAGGGATTCAAGAAAACCAGAAAATTGTTATAGAAGACAAATAAAATAAAGAAGATGAAAGAAGTATAACTGGAAAAAAAAATCAAGAGATAAAATACTTATGAAATAAAGCCATGAAAAGCTAAAGTACCATGGTAAACTTTTTATGTTTGCATCCATGGTAAACTTTAATATTAGTTCTATTACAATAGCTATGTTTCTTCTTTGTTTTTTCTTTTTTTTGATGAAAGAAGTATAACTGGAAAAAAAAACATAAGATAAAATACTTATGAAATAAAGCCATGAAAACTAAAGTACCATGGTAAACTTTTTATGTTTGCATCCATGGTAAACTTTAATATTAGTTCTCTTACAATAGCTATGTTGCTTCTTTATTTTTTCTTTTTTTGAAGATGAAATAAGAAGAAAAAAGCTGAATAAAAATAAAGGAAAAGATAAAAGTTGGAAAACAAGACGGAAAAAACAAAAGAAGAAAAGAATTGAAGAATATGTGAAGGATAAAGAAGTTGGAAAAATCAAAGATAAAAAATGAAGAATAAGAACACAAAACCAATTGAAAGTACATAAACATCTCTACAAGCATGCACACAGCTCAATTGTCTTATCTATATGAGTATATACCTTTGCCTATAATTTTGGTTTTTATGTCTGTGTTTGAGCTTTTTGGATTTATGAAGCTGCATATAGTGGAAAATGTGAAAGTGATTCTAAATTGTATTATGAATTTGGATCACAACATTGTTCTTTTCATATCCCTACAGATTTAAAGAAACCTCCAACTGCGGATAGAATGACAAAGGTAACTACCTAGGAATGATGTCCGAGAAGAAAAAACTCGGGTGATGGTCTCAACAGCAGATTCTGCAGCCAAATCTGAACAAGATGACAAAAGAGCTTCTGATTTAAAGTAGCTCGCAACAGAAGAACTCAATAAATGCCATGAGTCCACAGCTACAAAGCTCCCGAAAACGGATACCTGAAAATATCTTTCTTTCTAAGAAATTGATTTTTTTGTTGTATCTTTTGAAAGTAACAAAATAGCAAAAATAATAAAAGGATCACAACGAATAAAAAAATTGAAGAAAAAGAAGAAGATGAGATTACTAGAGAAGAATAAAAGGGAGAAGAAAACAACCATTACAAAAAAGAAAAAAAAAATTTTATAAATAAAATAAAATAAAAGCAAATCCAGAACTAATTTGTAATGTGAGGTTCAAGTGTGCGGTTTAAGGGGGAGTTATAATGTGGATTCTGGTTTTTTAATTAGGGGGAGGGGGATTATAATGTGGGGTTTGGGTTTAGGGTTTAGGGTTTATATTGATGGGTGTAGGGTTTAGTTTCTGGTGCATTATAAAAAATTTGAATTATTATAGAAGTATATCAAAATTAAAAATCACTGATTATAAATTTATATCTATCATTTTAAAATACATTCACAAATAGAAAAAACTAAAAAATTAAAGAAAATCCATAATCAAAAGAAAACAACACAAATTAAATAGATTTTAAAAGATCTCGACTATATAAAGATAAAAACTATTTCACGAATCCCTGAAAATCTAAAAAATCAAATGAATTGATAAGTGAAATATAAGACGTAAACAAGAAGGAATAAAAACACAAGTAGAATAAAAGAAGACTGTGGAAAAGAAGATGAGAAACTTCGAGAAGAAGAAGAAAACTTGAACACTAGGAAAAAGAAATCAAAGAAGAAAAAATGGAATGTGAAGAAAAAAGACAAAGAAGAAATAAATAAAAACTATAATAAGATGATATAAGAGAAGACGAAGATGATAAAGATAGAGAGATAGGGGGAATAAGGAAGAAGAAAAACGGAAAAAAAATGTAAAAAAAAAAGAATAGCGAGTTAGAGAATATAAAGACACAAGAAAAGATTGAAGAACAAAAATTGGAAGAAGAAGAAAAAGATGATGAAATCAAATATAAAATTGAAAGAAAAAGAAGAATATATGATAATTGGAGAAGAATAAGAAGAAGAGGTAAACAAGAATTGTGAAATCTTTTGTATCTCTCAAAGTTAATGAAAAAGATTATGTAGAAAAATGAAAAAGAGAAGACAAAAATAAAGCAAATCAACATTTCAAAAATAAAAAGTAGAGGATAACAAAAATCATACTCCCTCCGTTTCAAATTAGTTGTCGTTTTGGCAAATGTATCTGCAAATATTTGGACGTATCTGGACGTGTTTTGCATTATAGATACATCCAAATAATTGCAGATACATTTTCCTAAAACGACAACTAATTTGAAACGGAGGGAGTATTAGTATTTGCAAATCAATTTTCGTGAATGGAGCCACCACGTTAACTCTCAGCCGCGGAATTACCGAGATGCCCTTAATGAAAATCTTTCAATTAAATCTTCGAATTTTTCCTTTTTTATTAAAAACGAATTTGATTATTGACTTTTAATATTTTTAGATAAATATGTTAACTACCATATCCCGCCTTATTTTTGGAAGATATTATAAATTTTAGGAAGATAAATAATAAGTAAACCCTAAGATTCTTAACTGACCTGTATTATATAAATAGATACGATCTTG